ACATGTGTTCTGTGAAAAGAAAACAACACTTTTTGTGTATAATATGGGTTGTAACATGTTGCCATCTGTTGCTTTTCCAATCTCAGTGTGCAGTATGTTTGATAAAAAATTATCTATGAATTTAGATTTCAGACTAATAGTCTGTCTACATCTCGAAAACTGAAAATGCAGCTAACATTTACCATTTAGTTCAATAGAGATGTGCAAATCCAGGGCTGAAATCATCCAAATGACTCTAGTGAGTGTATTACCATATGACATCACAAGGTGATTTGAGAGAAGAACTCAGCCTAAATATGCAGGATTTGTGTGTTAAATATGTGTGAATTAAACAAAACACAACTTTGTTTATGTTTTTAATGAGGAAAGAACATTGTAATATAGATATGAAAACAGCATACTATTTAAATCTGTCCCTCCATATTCATATAATACAAATGGAGACAGTCACCTAATTATAATATGCAAACCCGAAAACAAAGCAAAATTATTTATATAGCTGAAAATGTATTTAACATTACATTTTTTCTTCTATGTCATCACCTATATCTTCCTTTATCGTTACAGGAAAGGCAGTATTTAAAACAATTTCCATGTCATGACTGAGTTTATAAGCAATCTCAGATCCACCTTGTGATCTGGCACCTCTAGTTGTAAGCACTTCTGTTTTCCCCATGTTTCTGCTACCTCCCTGAAGTTCTTGTGTTGATTTATTCAAGTGTAAGAAACTCAAATGTTTATTCGTTGTACCCTGGATAACACCATCTGCTGCTTATCTGTAGGTGCCATTGCATAACAGAAGCTGCTCAAAACATCCCCAGGGAAACCACAATTCTGTTAATGATCTGAAGAATTTATTTCTAAGAATACTTTGAAGTTAATATATTTCAACAGTTTAATTAAATGGATAAGATGAATATTAGAGTTAGTAGATAAATAGCGTAAAATTCTGAAAAAAAGAATTTCAATACAGTTGATTTCATGACTATTGCTAAATATTCATTATGTTGTTAATGAGAGGTTATAACATGGGTAATTTGTTCTTAATTAAGAAGACTGACAGAACATTAAATACATAGAAATCTTTCAGTCTATGTTTACTTATACTTCAAAATGCAACCTTTCCATAAAATTCTTATTAGTGGTTATGCACTTGGAACAAAAGTATGTCAGCTTCCCATTTGCATAGTAGTACACAAATGGTTTCTATAATCAAGATTATTGAGATATGATTCAGACATTTGAATAAGCCATTGATGATTGCATGTCTGCATCATAAAAGGTTACCCAGAATTACACATATGCTTTATGATCCCCAGTGGAAATTTTCAGCAAACACACTCATTACTTGAGTATATATCAGTCTGGCTTCTTGTTTGTCTTTCCAGTACAAGCCATTGGAAATCTTATGGTGCTGAACACAAGACGTCAGTGATTAACGGTTATGTTATGTAGTACTGGTACAGCAATACTTCGGGTTTGGGGTCCAGCAAAAGATCCTAAGATGAACTTTGTTGACTTGTTTATTTAATATAATCAATTTTAGGGTTAAGAAGTATACTCTTTGTATCAGTTGAACACTTCTATATTTGGATAGATCTGATGCCAAGTGTCAGAGGGCATCTGGCATAAACATCCTACTGTCTTGACCATTTGCTGCTATATCCATGTCAGGTAAGGAGTGGTCCCAAATCATAATACATTGTGAAAGATAAAAGTTGGAATTCATCCTGACATGATGCAAAGGTGTGGCTGTTCTCATGGTCATTCATTCTAAAGCAATACAAATGCCATTTCTAACTTGTGAGGTCAACAAAGGGTGGGTATTCCGACCTCACACAGACTAGGAATGTGCTGCTAAACCGATACATTTCTTGTTTACGGATTCAGTTTTAGGGAGTTAATCCATTCAAGGGATGACCCCTTGGTCCGCACGCAGACGAGCATTCCACAACATTAAAAATAAAGGGAGGAAGGCCGACACATAAATTCACTACAAAGACAATTTATGCCTTGTTCCAGAAAGTCTCCAGCACTTGTAGGAACACTAAAGCTTATCATGACAGAGCAGCGTCTATCCTGCCAATACATATACAGGTATGTGTCTATGTGGCTCAGCAAACCACAGATAAAAAGTAATGACAAGCTAACCTGAGAGCAAAGCAGCTAACATGTACAACTTTTATGCTCTGTGGCGCTCTCTTGATCGCAGGCGTGTCCAAAAAGATGGACATAAATCAAAAGCAGAGCATTGGATAACAACAAAAAGAGATTTTCTGCTACTACTGAAAATGTTAAAACAACCGAGCCAGCTGGTTCATCAACAAAAGCGTCACACAATGCGTCAAGGACAATCACATTCTGAAACTAAACTGTTGAGTGCTGACGGTAGATCTTTGTTATGAAAACAAACTGTAAGAACTGCCTGTTTGGAAGAAAATGTTCCTTAATTTGTACTTTTAAAATCTACAAAAGAAAATATAGTTTATCAATGGAAGCTGAGAAACAAAATCAAGTGTATATAGGAAATAAATCTGTATGTATTCTGGAGCTTAGTATCTGATAAAAAAGAGATGTACTAATTTAAATATAGGTTGTATAGCCTTGAAAGTACACTTTTTGTAGAAGGTTATTTTTCATCAGCGTAGCGCTTCTATTGCACCCTGCATCACATAGCTTGCATCTTGATGTGTCAAAAATATATAAATGTAGTTGCTATGTTACGATTGATAGGTGGGGGCATTTTAAAAGGCAGTTTTAATAATGGAAAATATGTGTAAATAAACTGATGACATCACTATCACAGTCATGGAATAGGAAAACTAAAAGAGGACCTCCACCCACAGCAACCTATGGGAACACATACTAATTCAAATGATACATACAGATACTTTGTACTTGGTGCATTAAAAAGCAGCTTATCCACTGAGACATATTGCATATTAACTGTGAAAGCCTTTGGACAGTTTTGTGGGTGGATGTGAACAGTAGTAACATGTGGGACTCTGGCAGCTGCAAAGGTTGCACCCAGCTGATGTCATAGCCCACAGAGCTGCGCTGCTAGGCAGCCATCAACATGTTCCTTCCACATCCCCGAAAAAATAAATTTTCCTGGAATAAGCTCTGAAATCTCTGATAACATGATTTAATTGTAATAACCTGTAATACACTTTGCAAAATTTGTTTTGGGCATCAATGTGGTTCATTTAATTCTTAGTCAAAAGAGAACAGGTCAAATAGATGAAGATAAAAATGCATCACAACAAAATTATATGTTGTACAAAACACAGTCTTTTGATACACTACACTGTGGTGGTCCTATGCAACATTACTTGTATTTGGAGACAAACATTGTCCGGTATTGGGCTGAAACACTCGGAGCCTCCCATCCAGAGTCCCTGTGAGCAGCTGAAAAAGACAGAACAAAAGTCAGAATCAAGCACATAGCCCTGTGTCAGGATCTATTTAAAACCCTTTAAGTTACATAGCAGCACACCTGCTACTCTGAAGTAGCCTAGCATCTGTGAGTTCATGATCCGACAGCCAGGTTTTACTGTTTACACAATCATGAAAAATGAATCCTTTTGCTAAACTAAAACATCCCCAAATAGCCCCCAACTTTAGACTGAATAAGGTCTGTTTAGTCATTATGGCTTATGCTTACGTTGGAGTGTGCAATTGATCTGAATGGCAATATATTTTGTTTTGTGGATTAACAACACCAGCCACACAGTCATTATAAAAGGGTAAGCACACACTTGAATTAAAAAAAAACCCTGGTTGGCCATGGTTGAAGAAGTCTGGCATATCCAATAATAGAGATGCATAATTTTTTATAGTTTCAGAATTTGGTTCATTCATTCATATTATTCATTCATTCATTTATTCATTATTCATTCACTATTCATTACTATCTATTCATTCTCTGAAGTGGGACAGATTGCGTGATGGGTGGTTAGTAGAGCACTGCTACATCACAACATTTGAGAGTTTATATTGCAGAGTACCAAATATCTTTAATTGAATACATTTGTCATAAATAGGCAATGATAGTTGTTATCATATTTTCAGCTTCATGGGTCCTTTCAACAGCTATTTAATCAGAAATTATTTTATTAAAAATGAAATAATGATTAAACCCAGACAAATATACTAAAACTCAAAACAATAGCATGGTATTTCCTTTGAAACAGACTGCTATTACACCATCATTTCTATTTAAAACAGACACATGGTTGTGCTGGAAAGGACACCACAGTCCAGAGAAGATAACAAAACTGGACACAAAGGGAGAACTTAATGTCTTTCAGAAGGCATATTCTTAAAGAGGGAGTATTATGCAAAATCAGTTTTTTGGAGCTTTCTACCATGTTATAACCTGAAGAGGTTTTAGATGTAATAAATGCATGTGTGAGTAATTTTGTGATCTCTCTCCCTATTCGAACCGTCCGTACG